AGAATTCAGTGATAAGTCGTCGGAACTTTTAGTCTGTAATTAAGGTACGTAAGCGTTTATTTACCATTCAATCACCTAATTGACTTAATCTAATTTATATTAGTGGCTCCCACAATCTTCTTGTGTTTTTTTTTTGACTCTACGAAAACAAAATTTGTCAAATTAGCATTCTGGTTTTTCCTAAACTAGTACAAACTAAAACGGAAAGAAAAGTAAATACAATTCAAATGGAAAAGAAATATAAACAAATACACTTGTAAATAGCACTCTAAGGATGTTGAGAAGATGGCAAAAATATAGATATTTGGGGGAAATGCATAGATAATTTTCTTCCTAACATTTTAATAAAACGAAAGTTACGTGCAAGAATGAAAGAGTGATAGGTTTTTCTTTACTACCACTACGAAGGCATGGAAACAAAAAAAACTAGTACGTGGTACGGTGGCTAGAGTTGCCAATTGTCATTATCGACACTCGTCATGACATTTGGGAATTTTCACCGTTTTCGAGATCACTGTTCTGAGAGTGTGCAAGGTGTGCAACCGCACAGAATCCATTTTTTTAGTTAATTTTTATTGTAATTTAGGACCCAAAAATTATTAAAATTAGATATAAAAGAGCCCAAATTTTAGATTTTAGTAAATATAGATCATTTTTTTTTAAAAAGTTAAAATTTTTGCACAAACCCCAAAAATTTTTTGGCTTTTTTTTAGCCGTCCTGAATATATTCAGCATATTTCTCAAAAAAAAAAAACAAAGAATACTCAGGATAGTATTTGACCGTAGGTGGGTGTCCCTCTATAGCAGTAAAAATAATGGTACCATTCTTGATAACGCTAATTCTTCATTTCAATAATTAATCTACTATAAAACGATTGTATAATAAACTTTGACCCCGGCTATAAATAGCTACCGATCAAAACTCATCGGACTGCTGAAAGCAGTTCTTTTGACATAGCATTTGCTCTTGCCGTTATTAAGCTCGTGGCAATGGGGTCCCACGGTATCAGCCAATCAGAGTTGCGCGCTTGGCTCCACAATTCCCATCTTGATTTTGTCTCTATTGTAAGTGTTAACATCAGCAAGTAGAGAGAGCGAGTGATGAAGGCGCGCGTGGTCATGACGATCCACCTTTGACATGGAGCACTCGACGGCTCGGATTATTAGCATGTAGTGTTCGGTACAATCCTAGTCGTTGATAATAATCGCCATTACGGACCCGATCAACAATGTTGAAGCGTTCACACCATTATCTTGCTACCATTTTACTAGTTTATAATAACACCACTATTGTTTCTTCTTTTTAACTAAAAAAAAAGTCAAGCCTAACCAGATTATTATTTCACACCAAGTCTTTTATTTCATTTTTTATACGTACAAAGTTTTTAATACTATATGAAAGGGGGAGATGGAGTAAAGTGAGTCATAAGAAAAAGTATTGTTGACAAAGGAACTTAGAACAATCTTAGATTTGTCAAACCAGAAAGGGAACAAGTCGCGTATCAGTCCGGTGAGGAAGACCGGTGCGAGCTCCCAACGCTCGGCAGTTGCAAGCAGCCTGCGATACAAAAGCACATTGTTACAAATATCACTCTGAAAATGTTATGTATGTTACATTTGGACGGATTGTGATGGTTCAATGAGACTGGGAAACATTTGGAGACAAGTCTCTTACAAATGGCAACCAGGGAATTCATGTGGTCGCTCAAGACTTCAAAATTAGTCTGTGTTTCAGTTTAGGATTAGAAAACTCAGTTACTCTAAAGTCTAAAACAATTCCTAGATTCACATGATCAATACGGGAAATAGATGTCTACAGTTGAAGATTTGTTTGCATTGGTGAAAACAGAACAGAGAGATTCTGTGGAATGTGCTCGGTTTAGCAGAGTTACCACTTGAGCAGCGAACGGTAACATTTTCTCTGGGGACATGCCAGCACATATGGCTACAGATCGAGGAAACAAGTAGAGATAAGTCAGTAATGTATAAGAAATAGGGTTTTGGGTTTTGATTTCTCAGGGAGTGTATAAGAATCTTTGCAAAACTTTTACCATATAGAACCGCTCCTATGAATGCATCGCCTGCACCGGTGGTGTCAACCAGCTCTTCTGGAGGAATTTTCTCTGCTGTTCCGAGAAATAATCTTCCGCTCACTGTTCCTATCCCGCTGGCGTTCAGCTTTGTTGTCTCCTGCAAGGAAATACGTGCGGAAAAGTTGGTGTGTCTTCATATGGGAGAGAAGTTATTTAGTAGTTATAACGGTTGGTTACCGATGCAACGCATGTTGGAAATGTTGTGGTTAAGTCTGTTCTATGCTTCAGTGTCTCCAACAAACTCTCAATGTCTGTCTCTTTGGATTCTGATGCTTCTGTTGAAGTGGGCATAGGCAGAAAATGTTCATGACCCAGAAGTATCGTGTAAGAACCTTTAATTTCTAGTGTTACATGAAGTCTCGGGTTTTTGTACCTTTTGAAGCTCTTTGAAGCATTAAGCATCCTTCTTCACCTAAGGTTACAATCACAAATTTCAGTTTCGGCAATCTCAATAACATAGAAACGAGTGCACCCGGGTTTGAAGACATCTCTGTCCATGCCTGCAAGACGCGAGAGACTGAGAATCCTCAGCTTCAAATGCTGTAAATAGATGCCGGAAAACCAAAGAACAGAAGCCAAACTTGCCTGAGGGAATTTTGCTGTGCAGACAACGTAATCGGCGAATTGCAAGAGATCATCTAATCCATCTCTTTTCTTCTCTGCATCCACTAGAATAGGTATCTTCTTGCGGCTTGCCTGCTCTGGATAAAAGCAACAAGCACAGGAGGAAATGAACATGAACGTTATGTAGCATATTATATTTTTGTAGACTGTAAGAACAAAAAAGAGAAAAATCTTGTGAACTCCTCAATCATCATGAACTTAACAAAGACTAATCTTACATATGACAAACCAATCTACTATTTGCATGACTGCGCATGATTTTTTTAAAAACCCTTGTTTTGGTGTACGTGGGAGAACTTTAGAAATTTGTGAAGCCTAAAAGCTAATTAAAAGGTGTAATGCTTACCTCTTTTGCAATCACCAAGGCGGTTTCATGTAATCTTACATCAAAATATACAATGCTTGCTCTGTCTAGAGCTGATAACATGCTAGACTGAGGAAGGTCAGTCGGTACCATGGGTGGGTCTCCAGGCGTGTGAATACAAGTACGCGTCTTCCTGTAAAATATAACCCACTGAAAATTTGATGACCTACGCAGTGAATCAACTCCAATCTACAGGACTACAACTATTTCATTCTCGTTGTTGGTATTAACTTTTGCTTCAACTAAATGATTTGACACAAAGAAGTTAACAGCACTCTAATGTATTGTTTACGATATGAAACATGGCTCCAAATTCACAAACAACATCATGGCAAAAATACTCACGTTTGTTTATCAACTATAATGTAGGTAAATGGTGTATTGCCCTCTTTAGAGACCTGGAATGAGATCAGATTAAAACATTAATTACTTGAAGATCAGAACAATTAAGAGCAAGTCACAGATATTAGAGACAATCCAGCATTACCACAAGAAAGGAAGTATCCACACCATCAGATTGAAGCTCCTCCAAAATGCCCTTTCCTTGAGAATCATTCGCTACCTAAATAATATTTTTCCATTACTAATGCCCTAATCGATAGTTGAATCTGTTCATTCCAAATTAGGATTCGAAATTGACCTTGCTAATCAGCCTCGCATTCAAGCCCAGACGAGAAGCGCAGGTTAACGCGTTTCCAGCATTTCCCCCTCCTTGCACCTGAGAAACAGCTAACACATTTTCAAAACCTAAAGGCTAAACCACACTACCAAAACACAAGACCATTGGGTCTACCTTGAGGCTAGTGCTTCGGATCTTGTCATCAGGTTGAGGATAAGAATCCACCGTTGCTAAGAAATCTACAGCGATCCCACCACAACCAAGCTGCCAAAATCACACGGGAGACGAGGAATCTCCTATAAGCGCGATTCAAGTAAACACAAACAAAATCGCGAGAGTCAATCATGGAGGAGGAAGCTCACAACGATGCCATTATCCGGCGGAGGAGAAACAGAATCAATGGAGAAAGAAGAAGACATTCGAGTCCTGAAACTGAACCATACAGGAAGAGGGAAGAATCTATCAGAAAGAAACCCTGTAAGAGGGAAATCAAAATCGACGCTCGGAGATTTGAGAAAGCAACCTCGTGAGTTGACGACGAGGGGACGGAAGGAAGATGCCGGAGACGGAGAAGAGACGTAGAGGTGAGAGATTAGTGAAGCACAGCATTTCTACTTTGTCCTCTACTAGTCTATTGTGTGACTGAGGTAGTCCATTTACGACACAATTTTAATTAAAATTTAGTGACCAACGTAATTTGGGGGGGAGGGGGATTGGCAGATGATTCTTACAAATTAAGGACAATTACAAAATGTCATTTTTTGTGTGTACATTTGCAATAATATTACTCAGGAGTATCTATTTACAAAAAATATCACTAATTATAGATTTATAAAGCCTATAATTCTAAACCGTAAAAAATGTTTTGACACCTAAAACCCCCTAAATATTCAAAACTAAATCCTAATAGAACATAATTAATCCAAACATAAATAATATAAAAAAAATAATTTTGAAAAAGTAGCATTTTTGTAAAAATTTCAAAAGTGTGGTATTTTTGTAAAGTAGCACTTGAAAAGTGGCATTTTTTGAAATTTATCTAAAATTTTTTAGAATTTTAAGAATCCATTATTATTGGTTTATGGATTACTAGATTTTGATCCACGCCAAGTGTAGTATTAAAAAATAGATTAAGTATATTTTTTGATCTATTTAGATGGATATTCCAATATTTATAAACGTACAAAATTATATGTATTGTACATAAATGTCAAAAACTTAAATTTTGATCAAGCATACTTTGATGTTATATGCTTTGATCAATTTTGCATAAAGTATTAAAACTAATGCAAATGTTATTGACAAATGATTCTTAAAGATTTTTAGAATTTTAATAATCCATTATTATTGGTTTATGGATTACTAGATTTTGATCCACGCCAAGCGTGGGATTAAAAAATAGATTAAGTATATTTTTTGATCGATTTTAATATTTAGATGGATATTCCAATATTTATAAACGTACAATAATTATATGTATTGTACATAAATGTCAAAAAATTAAATTTTGATGAAGCATACTTTGATGTTATATGCTGTGATCAATTTTGTATAAAGTATTAAAACTAATGAAAATGTTATTTATTTCAATTTATCTGAAGTGTAAAATTAATTTTTATTATTTATGTA